AAATCTGCTTCCAGTTTCTGGATTTTTCTCTAGTCTTTGATTTTTGGTGAGATGGGAAAGAAACACTATTTTAGTATCTCAAATGTGACTCTGACACTGTTTTTTTTTTTCAAGACAAAAAGCCAAAACGGTGCTTTAAAATCTTGTTACATTATGTTCTGTGTAAAGTCTTCATCCTAAGAGTAACTGAAGCTTTCAGACAAATGCAGTGGATTCGAAAGTGCAATATTTCCCTCTGAAATGCACCAGAATGGAAGTATAAAGCAGCATCAAATGGAAATAATTCATTAAAGCACCAGTTCACTAAAGTAGAACTGAGGTAAATGTACTTTCCACCACTGGATGGGAGTTTGGATCTCTCCACAGTCGCTCTCACTTCCTCTATTCAGTCAATAAAACAAAACTAAAGGAACCATTTAGAAAACCATTCAGTTGCAGGTGGCAGTGGAGCACAGGCTTACAAGAGTTCTTAACAGTAAATGTAAATTTTAGCCACAGTGCTGCCACAGTGGCTTAGTTCATCCAGTCGGTTGGTCGGTCAGTCGAACACTTTGGTAATCCACTAAACCCGGCATCGCGTTGGTGTTTAGCTTCCAGCAGCCAGCGCCGCCTCACAGAGCTGTTCCCGGGGCTGTCGTCTCTTAGTCTTATTTTTGAATAACGCTTGAGGCGATTTTGCGCTCGGGCCCTAATTAGAAACCAATGAATTGTTTCCAGGCCGTGTAAGAAAGTCTTAAAATATGTTAGCTTTGAAATGCTAACCAGCCGCCCCTGCACATTTGCATTCCACCACGCTGCACGTCTTCAAAACATCGCCGTGGAGGTGATTCAGCATTACCAGTGGTCAAAAGCTCTCCGGGGCACCTTTTAATGACAGCGAGCGTGAACATGTGCTGTGTGCTGGCTGGTGATATGCTAACCGCTGTGCTCTGCTCTTTTAGCGGGGTGTATTTCCAGGGCACCACCATCGGCATGGCGCCCATCATGAGCATGTGCACGGCGGAGCAGTCGGGAGGAATCGTAATGGTATGTTAATGTCCCCCAGAATGCTTTTAATCCATCGTGATGATCATAAACATGTGTTGTGTTGTAGAGAAGAGGCCTTATTTTATCCTGCCTTGTTCTTCGTCTCCCAGCATAATACTCTAAAAATTTTCCCATGTGTCCTGTGAGGGGATAGGTTCAGCTGTGGAATGTACACTGTAAAACAAAAACGCTGAAATAAGCCATCAATTGTCTGGCAGCAATGGTTAAAAAACAAAACAAAACTCAATTATGTGCAGAAACAATACATTTACATTAACATTTTATATGTTTTGCAGAAACAAAAACATTATTTTGCAGGTTTTTCCTCGACTAATGCAACCAAACACCTTCAATAAATTGTCAAACCTAAAAAATTCTGCAGAGAGAATTTTTTATTTTTTAAAGATTTGGCTGAAATTATTCATCCCAAACAGCTTAAGTAAAGCGTTAACACATGCTTGAGGTTGTTAAATAACAGTTTGTCTTGGAAGATGCGTCACTGTTGATTCCAAAACACTTTTATTTATTTGGGTGAAAATTTGCAACCAAATATTCACAAGTGATTCTGCAGAGCCCTCCAGGTTGAATTAAAGAACAAAAAACGGCATTTGTTGATTACATGGCATGGATATAAACCTTTATATTAAAAGCTATAATCTGTCATTTTATGTAAATGTAGTTAGGGGGAACACAGAAAAATAATAACAAAAAATACGGTAAATACACTGTAAAAATGTTTCACAAATAAATAGAAGTTGACATTTTTAGATTGTTGATATACAGATAAGATCTGTCATTTCTTTTTTTACAGTGTAGACTTTATATTAAGTTGACGACACACACACGTCATTAAGCGTTTTTCAAGGAAGCGTGGGGTATATATATACATCGTACCCTACACTTTGTCCTGATAAATCAGAGTGTGAATCGACTGCGCGAGTGGAAATCTTTGCTTCCTAATGAGGTGCAACAAACGAGTGGATTTACCGGACGGCACCTCGCAGCCTGAATGAAAACGCAGGGGCATGTCGTAAATAATGACCCATAACTGTACTGCAACTCTACACTGTGTGCACAAGTCATGTCGCATTAGCGCAAGTCATGCTATTATTTTATACTCACTGTCTGTGAATGACTGTTTGTCTTGGGGTCTGGCTGGGTTTACTGCTGGTCCCCAGATGGTTCTTCGCTCTCGTCCTCCCAGATGGTAAAACGGGGACTTGGTCATTATGATCGAACCGTACATGCACACATACTTCAGGTTATAGGCAAAAAAAAAAAAAGATTAATCTCCAACCGCAGACTCTTCTGCTGGGCAAATCACGGCCCTGTTGTCTGGGTTGTTTCTCTCCATTTACAGGGTACCTTTGAACTCATTAGCTGCACTTTCCCTGTGGGTTTCATTGTTATTTTGGTAGGGAGTGAAATCTCAAACATCCAGACATCTGGAGTCTCCATTTACCAGCCCTGCATTCATTTCACTGGTGTGGTGAAACACAACACAGACAGTGGCATGAAGTGCCCTCTTGAGCTCTTCAGCCTCATCTGTTGGTAAATGTGTCTGGGTTTTTCCAGGAAAACAATCAGAGTTTTTTGGGGGGTTTTGGGGTTTTTTTTTTGTTTTTTTTTGGATGAATCCAGGCTGCACAGTTGGATCACAGCACTGACAGCTGACTGTTACTTTCAAAAGCCCCCAGCAGAGCAGTTCATCAGCCCGAGCTCGGCTAGCACAGTGCTGCTGAATAATGCACAGTGACGGAAGGCTCTGGAGGCAAGGTGCTCTGACACACGGCTCTGCATCCATGAAGAGCTGATAGCTACCGTCCCTACATTATTTATCCGGCCTCTTGATGTGTTCATGTTTTACATAGCTTGCAGGAAATCTTCAGCCATCGGCAGCCTTCACTCAGCGTGTCACCGTGGCTCCGTCCGTACACTGCATCCTCTGTTGCGATCGGTTTTAAATTGCCGTTATCTTCGCCGAGCGGTCCGAGTTTTCCCGCCGACCCGGTTTGTTACTTTTGCTCAGAGGACGTCTCTATTTTTGAGGATGAGGCAGCACATCTGGCCCCGTCAGAGTTTGCAGAGAGAGCTCTCGGTGACAGCCTGCAGTCTGCTCTCGTTTCAGCACCACGACGTGGAGCAGAGGAAATGCTCTGATAAGCACAGATCCAGCTGAACTGTTTGTTTAATCTTGGCAATATGCAATTACATTTGCTTGTTCTGAGTAATGTTTCTCCAATGGGTCCTATGGGGAGCGGCAATTTGGCTTGCATTAGGTTCTTTATTATTTGCTATTTTCCTCTGAGTATCTAATCTGAAATGTCTGTTCTTAATGAGCTATTGGTATTTTTTTGCTGCGACAGAACTGAACAAATTTCATTATTGCTTGTCGCGTCGTGTCTCGCCTGGAAATGCACAGATAAATCTGACTCATGGAAGAAAAGAGAGAGAGAGAGAAAAAAGGTTTTGGAGTAAACATTGATGAGGTAAAATGTTCTGTGATTGATCGTTTTTGCAGGACCACTCCGACAACCCGCTGGGCGCTGCAGTCACTCTGGCTCATGAACTTGGACACAACTTTGGAATGAACCACGACACGCCAGAACGGGGGTGCGGGTGCAGAGTGACGGTGGACCGTGGAGGCTGCATCATGACTCCCTCCACTGGGTGAGTTACAGGATCTATCGTAAAGATCAGCAATGCGGACGCCTCCTTATTTATTAGCGGGGAAACCAATATAGTTTTATATCATCTCCAAACCCATCGATAATATATCATCATCATGATCTCAAGCGGTCATTAAATTAATTTAATCTCTTATTAACCGAGTGTCTCCCAAAACCTCAGATTGTGATCTTACGCAAACACCGTGTCGCATGTTGTAATTTATTGACCCCGTTTGTCTATTAGGCCACTAAGTTTATTGCAGATTCAACAGCTGTGCTAATGCCCTGAAGCAACATGACTCATTCCAAATGGGAAGTCAGCAGTCAAGACAACGCAGTTTGACTTAAAACGACACGGCGCTGCTCAGAAGACTAAAGAAATGTGTACTGCACACGCGGGACAAATGTAGCCGAGTGTCGGAGGGAGACGTCGCATAAAAGAGCAACAGGAACAAAAAAAAAACAACGTCTACACGATGGCGTCGAACAACTTCTCCGTGCTGAGTCGTAGTTATTAAATAATCGCTCGCCGCGGACTGTAATGTCAAACATGCTGCAGCGGGCCGAGCAGATGCACAGGATGTTCCGGGTGGAAACACCGGGGTATCCGTTCCACCCAAAGTCTAGCGGTCTGTGGCGGGCCTCGGACTGGTGTTTATGCTGGAAACATCCACTCGGTGTTTGGGTTGGACGGCGCCCATGAAAAACACGGTAACACTACTCTTGATTATAGACTTAGAGAACAACACGGCAGTAAGATGTAGATTTATATTTAACCCTGATTGAGGCTATCCCTGGCCAAGGACTTCGCCAAAAATGGCAACACGATGAACATGTTAGAAAAGAAAAAAGCCAAAGAAGTGTTTGTTTTGTCTCTCCGTGGCTCTCCTGCTCTGCCTGTCTCTACGGCTCTCCCCCTTTTCACTGACGGAGTGATGCTATTCTTTGATATGCATGCAACTTTAATGCTGGAAAATCTCTCTGCAGCTCCGAATAAATACTTAAATACCTCTGAAAACTGTCTTATTATACAGTTTTTATGCAGGGAGATCTTGTCACCTTTCCCTTAAAATATCTGAACCTGAAGTCGAATGCGGCACTGATGACGAATCTGAGAAAAAACAAGTTGTTTGTACCAAAGTTCGACTATAAAGAGAAATAAAATAAGACGGGAATATTTTGTGTTTTTTTTTTCTCTGCTCTCCATCGAGACCTTGTGCTCTTTTTCATTCCAGCAGACAAAAAAAAATGATCGAGTCCTTGGTTTGAAAATAATCCCCTCCACTCCTCCTTATTTCTCCATATTGCTGGTGTTCTGTTTAATCCAGGATTAAGGAAGCAATACATTTCAATAAGGATGTTCAGGAACTCTGTATATTCCATCATTCTGCTTCTTTGGTTAGTTCCAGGTCAGCACCGCGTACGTCTCACTGAGGCGGCGCTACATCTCGTCCAGCTTAAAGCCCTTCCTGATCAATGCTTTAAAATGCCATGTAGCCACACACACACACCCACACACACACACACACACACACACACACACACACACACATTGCTGCAATCACCTAAAGGTTGTTTAGTAATATACAATTGGCTGCAGTGTTTTTCTAGTTAGCAAATCATCTCACAGTATGCTGATCTACACAAGATCAGACCTTGAATGAGTTGGTACAAAACCCCCGCTAACTCTGAAAGTATCGGCAGAACTCCTCAGTCCATCAGCCCTGCCTGTTGTTCTGCTTTTTGTTTTAATTGACCTTTCCTTTTAATCAGCATGAATTAGCGGAACGCTGTGGCCGTGATGTACAGACAGATACCCTTCAAGCTCCTCTGGCCTCGCTGTGGCTCCAGGAATTAAGCGACGGAGATAATGAGATCCAGTTCGTCGTTGTTGCACTGGTGCGGGGTATGAGGGGTAGTTGGTGGTGGGGCAGTAAAACTGCAAGCTGTCCCAGTGCCAGATGCACATCTGCACAGAGCGCCGCTTGTTTCCTGCTAGCCCTGGTCACGGCCAATTGTCGTGTCCCCCCTCGACGTCCATCTCCCCATCCCGCCCCCATTAGGTCTAAACGAGAACAGGCTGGTGTTTCTCATCCTTTGAGATTATATCTCCTTAAAACCCAGACACACAGGAACACACACACACAGCAAATTAACTCCTGCTGGCCACTCCACGGACACACATTTGTACACAAACATATACATTTCCTTTCGGTTCCATTTCAGTGTGCCAGCCGTCCAGGTTTGATGATCTGGTCTGAGACTTGTTCGCTGTCATCCTGATAAGTGGAATAAGATCGTCGCCTATTTTAAAGTTTTCTGCAAAACAAATTTCGACAAGAAAATCCACAGCAGGGGCAAAGACGTGAGCATGACAGAAGGGAGTAAAAATTACATTCTGACTGCACCAACAACTTGGCTAAAGTCAGACTTGGATGCAGTGTCTTAGTTTGCACTGGGGGGAATTTCCAAAAAAAAACGTTAGTATTACCATATTTTTAGACAAGCTGCTCCGATATTCAGGCTAAATGGAGCTGGCTTCCAGGCATATGCAGATGATACTGTTGTTGGTGTATCTCAGAACTGTTTCTTCAATTTGCTCAAAAGGTTGTGAGAACGTTTAACATTGGACGCAGCGTGGTTTCACGATCTGCTTTCCAATAAAAAGCTGTTAAACTAGTTAAAAAGTCATATATTTGTGTCACATTGTGTGTATACGTTCATGTAAAAGTAATTATTGACACATATACACAGTCCCTTGGCATCTAAGTTAGCCACACAAGCTGAAGTGTGCATGACAGGTCCTGAGTAAGATGATGACTGCATCGCAAGAGTCACCGTAGGACAGAGACTCATGTATTTCCCTTGTCATAAAATAATCAGAAAATCACAGAAAGTGAGTCCGAGGCATGCCATGGAAATGTGACCCGCGCCCCGCTGAGGAACAGGAACTCTCTAGTATGCCTTGTTTAATTGGGTCCGTGGGGAAATCAATGTGAAAATGCTCTTCAGTATCTACAACATAGGCCAGACTGCTCGGCACCGCGGGCCAACAGCAGATCATATCACCTAATGCCATCGCCTCGGGCTCGGCATCCACCGTGAACTGTGCGGCGAAGTGACACTGGTTTTGAAGTGTGAAATATTCATCGTAGTCACGGTTGTCAGGTCTGAATTAACTTTATTCACATTTGTGCCCAAAAAAATTTAATAAAACTGTGATAACACAATAAAGTTTGGGCCACAGTCAGGATTTGCACATTTTGTATTCTCTCTAAAAAAAAAAAAAAAAATAATGTTCTCAAGGATGGTGGAAAATGTTCTGGCAGATGCGTCATTGGAAAGGACAGCAGATCTGATTCACAGCCTGATCAGTGTTTTATGGCTGAAGAGATGTGACATAAACTGGCCATGCAGGATGTGCTGGATAGGTTTTCCAGCGTTCTCTGTGATGTGAACCACGACTTTCAGACAGGCCAGGAGGAGAAAGCCCCCGACTGGCTAAATTGAAGCTGAAAAGCTCCGTGTATTCTAATGTGATAGTTTGCCTTGAGAGTATTCTAATCACTGGCGAAATAAGGTTTGACTTTACCGTCACAGTCTGCGGCAAAATCTTCCATTAACAGGGACTCGAGTGTTGCTTGTAATATTTTAACAGGAGATGAGTTGGCAGACTGTACTCATCCCAATAAATTGAATTTAGTGGAGCAACCTTTTGACCTCAAAGAGACCTTTTGCTACATAAGGATGGAGATTTTTATATAAGATTGAAGTCTTTAAGTTAGATTGGCAAGGTAGGTAAGACAAAAGCAGGCTGTTCGTTTCTTTACAGATGACGTATTTTTCTATCTAAAGAACTGTGCATTACCTGTCACCTTCCTCCTTTGTTTGAAATCCTTCAGCTCTGTGTTATTATCACAATGTGGTGCAGATCATAGAGGTCTGGAAATGATTCCTTATCACGGACCTCCCACGGATCCATTAAAGCTTTGTTTGGCCGTCGCTTTGTACAATCTATCAACCATCAAGTGGAGCGCCTCCGAAGCTCAGGAGCCAACTGTCAAAACACAAACCGTAGGTTAGAGATGAACAAAAGAACGCAGGGCACAAAAGAATGTATCCCCTGATGCAGCTGGAGCATGACCAAGTGGAAAACAATGCGGCAGTATGAGACGGAACAAAGAGCAAAGGCACAGAACACATCATCGCTCATCTCAAACCGAGAGCTCGGAGGGCACAGAGCAAAACTGAGTCTTTTCCTTTTGAGGTGGTGTCCCAGACTTTCGTGGGGATGAGTGGTTGTCTGCACTGCCTTAAGTTCGCCATAAGTCCCAGATGTGCCAACCGTAACTGGCCCTGGCACTGCTTTACTAGCCCTGGGGGACTGCAGCTGCTAAATGCCATCCACTGTAATTCATCGGTGCCTCTGCCGTTTCACAGCCATTACTCCTCCTCCCACCCCCAGACTGTTGCAGGGTACACCAATTATTTCTGTATTGCCTCTCATAAAGAACAGCTGGATCCCTGAGCCGCTCATGTATCTCAGATTTACAAAAAAAAAGGGAAAAAAAACAAGGATGTGAGTGTTTGTCATGCATTGCATGGGCTGGTAATTGAGGAGCAGGGCTGAGTTCATGGAAATTGAATGAATGAAGCAAAAGAGAGGGGTGCAACTTGAGCAAGCAATTTTGGCTCAGGCTTTGGGGGCAAAGAGGAAATCAACAACAGCAGTTACTAAGGAAGTGGGCCGCCTGTTGAACGGCAACCTTGACAGCTGTTTGTTGGAGAGAGAGGAGAAAAAAAAGGAGGCTCAATTATTATTACAGCTTTGGTTATTGCTCTTTCCTTTCGCCACTCCGTTTCATTGCATTTCCACTCTGATCTTTCGCTTTAATCCAGAATGTCTGAAGATCTGCTTCGAGGTAACCCACTTTCACCTAACGCAACCTAGGGTGCAGGGGAGAGGGGGGGGTCAGCAGCGGGAGTCGATGCAAGCCGCCTCCACGCATGTCGGAAATCAAAGGCAAGCCAAGAATGAGGCCATGTCAAAACATTCGCAGTGTCATGACATATTCAGAGCTGTATTAGATGTGAAAACCCAATCAGAGGAGAAAGAAAAAAAACACAGTTTGAAAGAGTTGCCAGCATTGAGCTGCATAGAAGTGACTCCTTCTCACAAGTCAAAAACTCCAAAGAGTGTTTTTTTTTAATAGCGTCTATATAATACAGCCAGTGGCTCTGAGTTCAAGGCTCAGTCTTATAGCGAAAACTAATCAGCAGCTCTGCCACATTAAACTCCCGTATCACTGATATAAACACCTCCGTGAGCTGCTTCTATTGGGCTGCCAAGGACCGTTATGTGGGTTTGCTGCCCCTCGACGCCACCGCAGCTCGGGCTGTGTGTGAACTGGCGCTTGTGCACGGCTTCTCTTGAAATGTTCAAAAATGTGAAGACAATAATATGTTTCCTGTCCTTTGAATGCTGTCATTTTCTGAACCAGAAACACTTCATAAACGGACTCATGTTTGATTTACTCAGTTGGCAGTTTGCTTAAGTGGATTTTTCTCTAAAAAATGATCACCAAAATCAACATAAGTGAAGATTTACTAGACATGCGGAGTGCCTTTGTCTCTTGAAACACACAGTTGTTGGGTAGGTTGGAGTGGTTTGCTGGTTGTGCGCTCGATTTGTTTATTATCCCCACTTCAGCAGAGTTAGCGCTCACGCTGCTGGGATTGGAAAAGTCTCACTGACCCACGCACAGGGAAGAAAATCAGCCGTTGAAGCCCACAGGCTCAAACAGCCAAGTGGGTGGCAGAGGCAGCGGAGGTGTAGCGGCACAGCTGATGGCACGGTGCAAAAATTCAAGGGCCCTTTTGTGGAGCCAGCTGCATGAGACATTTAGGCGTCCGAGTTGACCCCAATCTCCCACTTATTGTCTCATACGTGCATTTATCTGCATGCACAAAGACAAGCACGGATAGAAGTGTGAAGATCAGATTCAACCGCTCTGGCCCTCGCGGTGTTGAGTTTTATAGCATCAGTGGAGGTATTAAAAAATCTCATATGGCGCTTTTGTATCGAGAGCGAGATATAATCTGGACATATTCATGCACGCTTTGCACACACACTGTCATCTATATTATCACAGAGGAGCTCAATAAAGCCACATGAGGTCCTGAACAAAGTTTTTTGGCAGACAAAGCCTTGGGCTGAGCGCTTTCTCCACGGAGCAGACCACCCTCTCTGTCCAATCCAAAAACAATATTAAAAACACACAATTCTTCCTCCCCGACTTTATGGGTGTTGCACGTCTTGCAAAGGAAGCACTTCTTGGTTTGAGTTTTTATGATCCCCTGTCTCGTAAAATACGTCTAATCAGATCTCCGTCTCTCCGCTGAGACTAAAAGTCGCAGGGGCCCCGTGCCGCTCGCATGCTGATGGAGCTTCGGAGAGGTTCGCCGAGCTCTAGTGGTTAATTGATTTTGTGATTAGCAGCAATTAGCGCTGATTACATCAGACTGAAGAGGGCCCTCATGGGGGTGGGGGGGATCTCGGTCGTCTTTTTTTCTCCCGCTGTGTCACTCACGAAACGTTTCCTCTCGCTCGCAGGTATCCGTTCCCCACCGTGTTCAGCAGCTGCAGCAAGAAGGACCTGACGGCGAGTTTTGAGAAAGGCGTGGGGATGTGTCTCTTCAACATGCCGGAGGTCAAGGTGCTCTACGGCGGGCAGAAGTGTGGCAACGGCTACGTGGAGGAGGGAGAGGAGTGTGACTGCGGAGAGCTGGAGGTGAACAAAACGTCCAAAACATCCAACAACTTCTGCTGAGATCTCTTTCTTGGCTACAGCTCATAAATCCCTGTTCATCATGTTTCCCACACTTAAGAAATGATTAAGTGGGCGTGCTGGAGGGCGTTTTTTTTTTTTTTTTGCGTAGCTTGACACAAACCAACAACTCCCAAAGTAAAAACATTGCATTGGTTTTAATTTTAACAGCACAAAGCTTTCATAATGCAAAAGCTGCTCCGAAAATTAGGCTGCAGATACGGGTTTTATCCAGTCTGTGAGCTGTTTGGGACGACGGCTGTCTAATTGTGATACAGCTCGCTGTGACGAAACACTGCTGACAGTCTCGCCCTGTCAACCGGTGAATTATTCAAATGAATGTGCATCGGCATGCACATACGTAATGGCGGCGCATGTTGCTGACTGTTCCGACCGCAGGATGATGAAACGGTTAATCACGATGCTGCTGACAATTAGCAGAGGCAAGCTGGCAAAAAGAAAAAAAACTGAATTATGAAATCTGGAGCAGGCACCTATTATGATTTGGAAGGATATTTAGAATTGCATAATAGCCTAAATGAGTGAATGCCTTGTTGTCTTTTGTGATGTGTTTACACCTTCATGCCCATCGAGTCCGTTTGGGAGCGTCAGTCGGGGTCAGGCTGAAAGTGGCCTTGTCTTTAGAAACAAAGGAACTAACATAAGCCTCCAGACCTGAGCCAGCAGCGATAATAATGCTCTCCACAGAGCCGAGCAGCGTCATGCCAACCCAGGCCAGATCAGAGTGCTCAGGCAGCACCTCTCTCCGCCATTAAAAAGCCTCATTAAAAAGCCTGGGTCCTATTCTTCACAATCACAGGCTACTTCTTTTCAGCGTGACTCCTCTGCCTCTTTCTGGCCCCAGGGACCATGGGAAAAGGCCCTTAATGGTTTTTCAGGCTGAAAGAAGTTGTAGAAGGCCCATCGTGTCAGCTGTGTCCCCCGCCATCGACGTCCTCCTGACCCTCACTGCACTCGGCTGTGATTCAGACTATAATGGCAAGAGAGGGAAAGAGCTGACCCTCGGGGGTCAATCAACCTGCCTCTGTGCCGGATCATATATGCACGTGCAGACTTACAACACACACACACACACATGTACATGCATATCACACACACAGAGCCTTGATTGAATTCTGAGGTCCATTTGCAGAGAGCTGCTGATTGTTGCAGCGCGTGGGTCATGCTAGGGGCTAACATGAAACAGATGGTCGTCTATGGTGAGATGGGAAACGGTACAGAGCTGGCTGGTACGGTACAGATACTGTCTGTCTGCCTGCGCGCTGCATGAAGGATGATCAAATCCTGGTGATGCAGTACGGGCAGTGAAATGCAATGTGACTGTTCCACAAGTCTGTGCAAAGAAATGATTAGAAAAGATTGTTTAAAAACATAGAAAAAGTCACAAATAATGAGGAGCAAAAAGAGTGTGAGGCTAAAGTGCAAGAGCTGCAGTCACGTGTGTGTGAGTGCACACGCCTAAATCCGTGTTTACGTTGTGCCGGCGTGCTGCAGCTCATCCAAAATAAATAATCCCAGCAGTCAGATCTGACACGCGGCCATTAAACTTGCATCAAGGTGATCGGTCTTGATTTTACAAGTAAGACATTCAGTCAAAGCTCACAACAAACAACTCTGAAATGTTGATTGCATGGTTGTCATGCAAATATTCCAAACTGCTATTACGATGAAGCAAAAAAAAATAAAAGACAAAACGTAGAATTCAGTGTTCCCTACAAAAAAAAAGCATATAAATGAGATAAAATAGATCAAATAAATGGGTGCATTTTATATTTAGATTTAAAATCTGGTTGGATTTGAACAGCCTGCGACATTATTATTCAGGAAAACAGTGTTTAAATATAGAGAATTCTCCGAGTGAGTGTTATTTTATGATTGCGTTGCATGAATGGGTTCGGTTCCTGACTGTGATAATTACACCTACCTGCACCGAGGTTACATGCCTGGTTCGGGAAGGGAGGCTCTGAGTGTGGTACTTTCTGATAAAGCTCCTCGCTCGATGTTTAAAGAGGAACCGATGCGTCTTCTTTCCATGAACATCCACTGCTATGTGCTGCGGCGCTGCGTGAGGTTTTGAATTCCCACGCTCACCTGAACGTGTCGAGAAGCTTTATTTTGTCATTTTACGGTCAGATAGCATCAAACGTGTTGATTTTTCCTTCGTCACATCGGAAGGTATTTTAATGCACACATGCCAGTTTATTTGTGTTGCTTGTTTATTGAAGGATCGGGTCTTTTTCTTTACTCTCCTCCTCATTCTACAGTTTACTTCATACAGTTCATGGTTTCAGGGGCTGGAATGAGTTTGTAAATCCTCTCAGATGGAAACATAGTTTTTAGAGAACTAGAAACTGCTGTTTCCTCTCCTCTGCCAGTTTTTTTTTTTCCTCTTTTCTTTACTTGCTACGGAACACAGTCCTGCATCCCCTCTGATAATACAGTCTGAGCTCTTTGCTCTGAGGTGAAATATGATCTCTTTGTGCAAACTTAATTTTTCTTTACTTTTGTTCCCCCTCCTTACTTACATTTCCTTTCTCTGCTCGGCTTCTTTTCTTTTCCTGCTCTTTTCCATTTGCAGGAATGTATCAACCCGTGCTGCAACGCGACTACCTGCACTCTGAAAGGGGATGCTGTCTGCGCACACGGACAGTGCTGCCAGGACTGTCAGGTAATATGAATACTGATTAGTCGGCCAAGTCGGAGTGTTTTCACAAGCATGAAGACATCCTCTCTCTCTGATACACTCAGTTTAGCACCTTTTAATGAAATTTGGTGGGTTTTTCTCCGGGGCTGTTTTGTGTTTGTCCAAGCTTCACTGTCGATCTGTCGCTTGCTGTTTGTGTTTGAGTGCAGCTGAAGCCGGCAGGCACGCCATGCCGCGAATCCAGCAACTCCTGCGACCTGCCAGAGTTTTGCACCGGCACCAGCCCTCACTGCCCCTCCAACGTCTACCTGCACGACGGCCACGCCTGCCAGAACGTGGACGGCTACTGTTACAACGGCATTTGCCAGACTCACGAGCAGCAGTGCATCACGCTGTGGGGCCAAGGTGCGTTACAGGCTCCCCGGTCGGCTCGTGAATGCTTCAGCGATGGTTGCTGTTTTTTCAATGTGTTTTATTTGTGTCTCGTAGGAGCCAAGCCAGCTCCGGGCATCTGCTTTGAAAGGGTCAACTCGGCAGGAGACCCTTATGGCAACTGTGGCAAGGATTCGAAAGGGTCCTTTGCCAAATGTGACGCACGGTGAGACCTGAGGTTTCCATAGAAACACTGGAGGCATTTAATTGCAGTAATTATCAGTTGTGGGGATGAACTGAGGGCATGTGCTTCACCGGCTGCATAATATAGCTCACTTTTTAATCGCTGGAGACCGATATTTAAGTGAGTCTAGAAACAATCAGTTGCTTCACCAAATTAGTTTCTTAAGTCATTAGAAAAGAAAACAAAAAATGCCAGATTGGCTCAAGCTTGAGATGTGAGAATTTGCTGCACTTCTCTATTTTCTAAACTGTTAAAAAAAAAAAAAATAGCTGACACAATAAACAATGGAAATAATCATTAGTTGGAGCCCTAACTGAGACTTACAGAGTCACTGGGTGTAATGCAGCAAAGCTCTGTCTCTGAAATTTCTCAGGTTGTGATCTGAAAGCAGCAAAAACAAGCGCCCTGTTCTTCAGCTTTTGACAGCAAGAGTGAAAGAGGAAGCTAATGCATATATACACATCTGGGGAAACAGTGTTGTGTCATTCAGTTACTGTATCGTCATTCTTTTTGTTGTTCCTTCTTGTGTTTGTAGGGATGCTAAATGTGGCAAAATCCAGTGTCAGGGAGGAGCCAACCGCCCGGTGATTGGTACCAACGCTGTTTCCATAGAAACAAACATCCCCCTGCAGGAAGGGGGAAGGATTCTGTGCCGAGGCACGCACGTCTACTTGGGTGACGACATGCCCGACCCCGGCCTCGTTCTGACGGGGACCAAGTGTGCGGATGGAATGGTGAGAGCTGGAAAGACTCAT